TTTAAATAAATTTAAAGCTTATTTTCCATGTTTCAAGTGTTTTTAGAATTTTCACTGAAAATATTTAAAGGGTGTTTGGTGAATATTAAAATTAGATTTTTAGTAGATTTTGATAGAAGTTTTTGAAATATATGATTGAAAAATTGTGAGACTTATTAAACGGGTGGTTCATATTTGATTATTTGACCTTATCTCAAATTAAAATCTGAACCAAAAGGGGCTTAGAATGTCAAAATTTCGCTTTGAGCTTTATGTTATAAGTTTATCTTCGTCTTTGAAAATAAATTTTCAAAAATATCAGACAAAACATATGTATAGTATTTTGCAAAATTGAAAACTAAAAATGGCAAACCAAAAGCACGCTAAGCTTCTATTCCAGCTCATTATCTAAAAATTCATTTTTTTTAAAACTCATTTTCAATTATACATTTTTTCAAAAAAAAAAAAACAATCTTGTACTTAAATTCAATTTTTTTTAACTTTTTAACCATACATTTTCCAAAAAATTACTATGTGCTCGTTTGGTAAAGATTTTGTTAATTGAATTTTTGACCATTAAAGATAAGGTGGATCCTATCTGTGAGAAAAGAATTCAAAAATGACAGTTAGAATAGTGAAATAACGATAACAAAATTGATGTTAATTGGATTAAAATCCTTACCAAATATGCTCTATAACTTTTTTCTTTTCACTAAAAATGATGTTTGAACAAAGTTAAGAATAACTTCAGCACTAAACCCTTGTTTGATCCCCATTTTGAGAGAAATAATTCATTTTAAATAGTAAATTGATAGCGAATGTGTGATTAAAAATTAAAGAAAAGTTTTGAATTGTATGTAATATTATTTTATTAAAAAATATATAATTAAAAATAAATTTAAAAAATTAAATTTAAAAGAATGAGAATCAAATAAAGACTGAATATTATTCTATCGCCTTTATTCCTGGTTTCGCATTTCCCTATGAATAATAAAATCCTCACTCCATCGAATAAAAGTCTCATTGCTACTTTATTGTTATTATTTCTCCCTCCTTGAAACTTTTGTACATTGTGCTTCCGCGGATATGACACTTTTTTTTTTTTACGAGACTCAGTGCTTAGTGATTGTACGATTCTCTCTTACCGTAATCTGTTCATCACTTTTATTACTTTATTTCAGTACTTGAAAATTATTTTTCTTTACCATCATTTTTAATCCCACATTTTTCTTTTTTAACTTTTTCTTTCCTTTTTACCACACATTCTTCAAAATAATAATTAATTTTCAAAAATCTATTTCACACGAACGCTTAGTCCCTATTTTGTTTAGCTAATTTTTTATTTATTTATAAACATCCAAAATAAAATCAATAATTAACTACGTATTTTATGAAATCATTTTTAATTAGAATTTACTAAAACTCTGATTTTTATTCCTTGTTTGGTAGAGATTCAAATTAGATTTTTAATAAATTTTGATAGAAATTGATAAAATGTGTTGTTAAAAAGTCGTGGTATTCATAAAATATGTTGTTAAAATTAATTGTTGATTTTGATTTAAATTAAAATCTAAATTTTAATTGGCATCAAACATGGACTTAGTCAAAACAAATTGGGACATAGTAAAAAATTAGTACAATATTTTAATTAATTAGACTAAACATAGGGTCTGTTTGGGAGCGATTTTTTCATCAAAAAATTGATTTTTTGATCGTTACTTTACTATTTCAGTCGTCATATTTGACTTTTTCTCTCACAGGTGAACCCCACTTTTCTCCTAACGGTCAAAAAATTAATTTTTAAAATTACTCCCAAACAGGCTCATAGTATATTGAAACTTAGAGAGTGTTGGTGGAATTTTGATAATTGATTTTTTGACAGTTGGAAATAAAAATGGGCTCTAAGAAGAATTTAATCAAAAAATTAATTTTAATTAACTTAAAATCCTAGCCAAACACCCCCCTTATAATGCAATAAAAGCAACTATTAATAAATTGTCACAAAGGAAACTTCACCACTACATATTCCCCACTTTTATTCCGATTGCCTTTATTCCCATTACCTTAACAAATATTTAAACCTCACTGCTCCTAACGTGATTCGTCATCTCCTAAAACCCTTGGAACAGCCTGCAAAATTTTGATCAACAATGGCGCCCGTTGACCCCCATTCCTACACAGACTCCACCCACCCGCTAACAAACCACATCGCCCTCACCTTCTACTTCGATTTCCCGTCCTCCACCATTTTCACCTCCACTCTCATCTCCCTCCCCGCCCCTCACTCCGGGCCCTTTACCCTCGACACTCGTTCCCTCTCCATATCTTCCGTCCTTGACCCAACCACCCACAAACCACTACCCTTCACCCTCGCCGCCGCTATAGACCCGATTTTGGGTCAATACGTTACGATAACACTGTCAAATCAGTCCCAGGTGTTGATATTGTCGAAAACTGCCACTTCGTCATCAGCCCTTCAATGGCTTTCGCCGCCACAAACGTGTAACAAGTCTTTTCCGTTTGTGTATACACAATGCCAGTCAATTCATGCTCGGTCCATTTTCCCTTGTCAGGATACTCCTGCGGCACGGGTGAGGTATACGGCGAAATTGAATGTCCCGCTGCACTTGTCTGCCGTTATGGCTGCGAAACACGTCGACAGGAAGGACCCAGTTGCGGGAGAGTCTCTGGGTGCGTGTGAGGATTCTGTGTGGTGTGAGGAAGGGAGAGTTGTGGAGGAGTTCGTAATGGAGCAGCCGGTGCCCCCATACTTGTTTGCTTTTGCAGTTGGCGAATTGGGATTCAGGGAGGTGGGCCCAAGGACTAGAGTGTATGCGGAGGCAGTCCCGAATATTTTGGATGCTGCTTCCAAGGAGTTTGCTGGGACGGAGGAGATGATAAGGGTCGGGGAAAGGTTGTTTGGCCCTTATGATTGGGAGAGATTTGATTTATTGGTTTTGCCTCCAAGCTTTCCCTATGGGGGGATGGAAAATCCGAGAATGGTGTTCTTGACCCCTACTGTGATCAAAGGGGACGCAACTGGTGCACAGGTTGTGGCTCATGAGCTCGCTCATAGCTGGACTGGGAATTTGATTACCAACAAGACTAATGATCACTTTTGGTTGAATGAGGTATGTTACTATATAACTTATTACTGATGGTGGGCTGTCCTTAATTTATAAGAAATGTTTGTATTAAAATTATTATGTGGATTTAGTAATGAATGTAGCCAATTTTCTAATTTATGTGGGTGCCTAAAAGAAATGGAGCATTCTTTATAATAGGGTTATGTTGGCTCTGATTTGATTAGTTTAATGATGTTATATCACAGTTTAGGATTGATATGATTGTTTGCCATTCGTGTCTGATTTTATAAATTGTTCCAAGTGTTCTGGTGCGATTAGCTTTCGAGGAAAGGTCAACTTTCTGACTGATATTGGTAATTAACAGTCATCCAATATCAACCTCGAGTTAATTTGATTATGTTAGCTAGCTGGTGTTATTGAAGCCTGGTAGAGTTGATGTAGCTGATCCTTAGTAATCTCTTTCTAATGGAAGCCGACTTGATGATGTAGTCATGTCGCAGTTAATTGGTTACATATATTGTACTTGGACATCCTTTGGCATGTGATGTCTGTATCACTGTGATCTCGATATTATTTTCATTTATTAAACTCGTAGTTGCTGATTCTTCAAATATTCTTTTTGAGAAACAAAATTTCTATGAGGATCACAAATTCATGCAGGTCTGTCAAAATGAAAATGCAAATTGCACCCTTACATTCAATGAACTCTTTGATGATTTACTTTATTCTTGTTTGAAAGGTTAGACATATAAATGATGAAGAATGTAAAAAAATTACCCAAAGAAGACGACTGTAGGATTTCTCCTTTTCTGACACAGTATATGCTGTTTTCGCTTAAGCGTGGGCCAAGCGTTTTTTCTGTCATCAGCTTGGAATGCACTATTTGAATGGTTGGAATTATTGGATGTGTACGATTCATTTGAAATGTACTGTCAGACATATGGAGTAATTGATAATTTTCAGTGTGTACTTTTTGGATGATACCTAACATACAATTTCTGTGTGATGAGATGTGGAAGTTAACCTTCTTAGCATTTATGACTTCTGCTATGAAGTTTAGATTTTTGGATTGAACTGTTCGGTTGTCTGAGACTGTGATGATTGAGATAGAAGGATTAGAATTGAAACTGAAAGTGTATTTGGAAATGGATCGACTATCAAGTGATATTATCTTAACACATGAATTTCGGATGTAGAAGTGTGCCTCACTTTGGTCAGAGACTGATGAGAGGAAGAAAAGATATCCCTAGGCTTTTAGCTCTTTTTTTCTTTTTTTGACTCTATTCATTTCTTTCCTTGGATATTTAGAATTTGTGGCAAGTTGCTTATATTCTTTCCCGTATATGTGCTACTAGGGTTTCACAACTTATGCAGAGCGGCGAATAGTTGAGGCTGTGCAAGGAGAGGACAGGGCTGCCCTGAATATTGGAATTGGTTGGAGAGGACTAGTTGAGGAAATGGATAGGTTCAAGGACAACATGGAATTCACAAAACTGAAAACTAATCAGGAAGGTGTTGATCCAGATGATATATATTCTCAAGTGCCCTATGAGAAAGGGTTTCAGTTTCTATGGCGTATTGAAAGACAGGTATGCATGTCCCTTTCCTATGCTTCTTCTGGAGATTTGGCCTTATATATTTTCTAAGGATAGCTTAGTTGATGTTCGTTCTATTCAATGTGCAGATTGGAAGGCCTGCATTTGATGTGTTCCTAAAAAAGTATATTGCTACGTTTAAGTTCCAATCCATTGATACTGACACGTTTATTGATTTCCTTAAAGCAAATATTCCTGGAATTGAGGAGCATATTGATTTAGAATTATGGGTCGAGGGTACTGGCATACCTCCAGATGCAATGGAGCCAGTTTCCAACATTTACTCAAAGATTGTATCACTGGCTAATGAGTTTCAGCTTGGTAGGATGCCAAAAGAGGATGAAGTTGCTGACTGGCACGGACAGGAATGGGAGCTCTACCTGGAAAACTTGCCTAAATCTGTTGAAGCTTCTCAAGTATTATCTTGTTTGTTGAATTATTGCATCATCAATTACTGGGATAATCTTTATTTTACTCTTCCTTCCCCTTCAGTCGAAAATTCTTTGAGATATACCAGTCTGTTTCGGCCTTTTTTTTTTTTTTTTTTAAATCATGGTCTAAGTTAAAGTATGACTTTTTGGAGACTCAATCTTACATTTTTTGTTAAAGGAAAAAATAATAATAATTATTATGCAAATGGTAGTGAAAATATTTTTCGTGCACAAAATGATTTTATGCCGTGAAAATGTTTCCGTGCATAAAAATTCTTTTGAGTTATAATAGATGCAAAATATTAAAGTGTTTTACCTTTACATTTGAGTTCAAAAAAGCATCTATATCCAATGTCTTCAATTTCTTCTTCCGACGTGATTTTTGATGCAAAGGCTCGATTTCCATCTCCACATTCGTCAATCTCCAATTTGCTTCCATGTTGTTGTTGAGGCCATCCTTGCCAAATTCTCGTGAAATGTTTCTGTATATCTAGTTCAAGTTATACTCTTACCCCTTGTTTGATTTGTGATTGCCCATTTTTGGGATCTATCTGGATCATGCATTTAGTTACTTGACCAGTCAATCTAGTTCGATGGACACTTTCTTAACATATTCCACTTTTAAGATGAGGGATTTTGGCTTATTCTTGGCAAGAGTTATGTATGAATTGAATGAAAAATATTGAACAGAAGTAATGAAAAATATTAAATAGAAGTCTCTTCATATGTTATAACTTAAGTAACTTAAGTCCCATCATGTTTTTAACTCCTTTATCAATGAATGGTTTAACTCCTTGATTAATGAGCTAGATTTTCATCCATTGGTATAAATAGGAGTCTCTCTAGGTTGAAAAATCACAAGTAAAATGCAAGCTTCTTTCTCTAAGCAACAATTTTTTTTTTTTTCTCACTTTCAAGTTCTTCCTTATACTTATAATTTCTTTATGAGATTGCGTATATCACAGTTAGTTCGCAGGCGGTTAACGTAGTGCAACGTGAACCGACAACCGATTGTATCTTGGGAATCGAACATCGATCAAAACCTCTCGCATTTCGGTGAAGCGGCGAATTCGATTTAAGGAAACTGTGAATATACAGTCCTTCGGTTTGATTTGATTTTCTAATATTTACCTACAAGCTTAAATCGAAATTGACTTTAGTAAATCAAATTTTGTTCATTAGTTTTTGTCAATTTTTTCAGTTCATGGTTTTTGCATGATTTCTAATTCATTTTAAATGATTGTTAAGTTGTTAATAATTTGACAAAATAATATGTTCTTCAACTCTGCAGTTTTATTTTCTGAACAGATAACTTGATCTCGAATTTATATACAACTTTACAAACTTATAATTATTCTAAATTATTTTTTGCTTGTTTCGGTTCAATGGCGTCACAAGGTAATAACGATGTGAACAACGAAAGCAACACTATTGGTACCGGTGTACTAAATCCTGCAATGATCGTTGTTAACCCTATGGAGACCACGACTGACATTTCTCCCATTGACGGGATAATTGGAGGCCGGATTCCTTATCTTGGAGTGAACCCAACTTTGCCTTCGACTGCGGCCTCGGTAATCCAGTTTGGCACAATACCTTTGCTAGTGCCTAGGGCTGCGGCTTTGGCACCTTTGCCATCGTTTCCGACTCCATTTTCGGTGAATCATGTAATTCGACCGGATAAGTTTGCTGGTACTGATTTTAAGACATGGCAGAATAAGATGATTTTCTATCTCACTACGTTGGGCTTGCACGTTTCCTCACTAAGGATGCCCCTATCGTGGCTGAAAACGACACTAATGTGCATAGGCGTGCAGTTTGGGATGCTTGGAAAAATGCTGATTTTTTGTGCCGCAACTATGTCTTGGATGGCCTACAGAACTCTCTGTATCACGTATATGTGGTAAAGAAGTCTGCTAAGGAGCTCTGGGAGTCCTTAGAAAAGAAATACAAGACCGAGGATGCCGGATCTAAAAAATTCTTAGCCAGTCAGTGTATGGACTTCGAAATGGTTGATTCATGTTCAGTGGTGAGCCAAGTGCAGGAGTATCAAGTGCTTTTGCAAAAAATGCATACTGAGAGTTTGGCCATGTCAGAATCTCTACAGGTGGCTATTGCTATTCACAAGCTACCTCCTAAGTGGAAGGCTTTCAAAAGCTATTTGCAGTATAAGAGGAAATATATGTCTTTCGATGATTTAATTATCAAGCTGCGCATTGAGAAGGATAACAAATGGGCTGAACGTAAGTCAGAGAATTCTTACTCTGAGAAGGCTAATGTATTGGAGTACGGCCAAAGTTCTGGTACTAAGAAAGTTCACTCCTTTAAAGCCAAACAGGATAACGGAAATCGAAAAGATAAAAAATAGGCTACGAAAGGGTTTTAGTTGAAGCTTGCAGGTGGGGTAGGAAAGAAACCTAAGTTCCAGTTCAATGGAAAGTGTTTCAATTGTGACAAAGTTGGGCATCGATCAGTAGACTGTCGTCAGCCTCGGAGGGATAATAAGCAGCGTCCTCAGGCTAATATGGTTGGAAATGAGAGAGATCATCTCTCAGATGAAATGTCTGAGCTAAACCTCACGGCGGTGATTAGTGAGGTTAATCTGGTGGGGTCTAACCCAAAGGAGTGGTGACTGGACACTGGGGCCACTTGCCATGTCTGCTCCAACGGAGCATGTTCACTACTTTTGCACCAGTTACAAATGGTGAAAAGTTGTTCATGGGAAACTCTGCAACTTCTGAAGTGCTTGGTAAAGGCAAGGTGATCCTGAAGATGACATCTGGCAAAGAGCTTACTCTGACTAATGTGCTGTACGTGCCACAGATTCGCAAGAATCTGGTCTCTGGGTCTCTTCTGAGCAAGAATGGGTTCCGCATGGTCTTTGAGGCGGATAAGCTGGTGATTACCAAAATAGGAGTTTATGTTGGGAAAGACTATATGACTGATGGCCTGTTTAAATTGAATGTAATTGCTGTAACCCCAACTGTTATGAGTAATGAGAAAACTCCTTCTATTTACTTGCTTAAGTCTCTTAACCTGTGGCACGGCAGATTAGGTCACGTAAATTACAATGCTTTACGTAGACTAAGCAAACTAAATTACTTGCCTAGGTTTCAAATTGATTCAAATCATAAATGTGAAACATGCGTTGAATCTAAGCTTATTAGGTCTTCGTTTCATAGTATTGAAAGAAGTATCGAGCCATTGGGATTAGTCCACAGTGATGTATGTGACTTGAAATCTGTCCAAACACGAGGCAGTAATAAATATTTTATTACTTTTGTCGACGATAGTACGAGATATTGTTATATGTACTTGCTTAAAAGCAAAGACGAAATTATCGATAAATTCATTCTTTATAAGAATGAAGTTGAAAATCAATTTAGTAAGAAAATAAAGGTGCTACGGAGTGATTGTAGTGGTGAATATGAATCACCGTTTGGTGAATTTTGTGATAAACATGGAATAATTCACCAAACTACTGCACCTTATTCACCTCAGCAGAACAGAATTGCTGAGCGTAAGAAAAGAACTTTAAAGGAAATGATGAATGCTATGTTGATTAGTTCTGGAGTACCACAGAACATGTGGGGAGAAGCTATTCTTTCCACAAATTACATCTTGAATAAAGTGTTAAGAAAGAATATGACAAATCAGACACCTTCATATAAATACTTACGAATGTGGGGGGTGTCTTGCTAAAGTTGTGGTGCCTCCTCCTAAGAAGGTCAAGATTGGACCTAAGACAGTTGATTGTGTGTTTATTGGTTATGCACAAAATAGTAGTGCATATAGGTTCCTTGTGCATTATTCAAATGTACCTGATATTCATCTGAACACGATTATAGAGTTTAGGAATGCACAATTCTTTGAGAATATATTTTCTTGTAAGTTTCCTAAATAGTTAACTCCTATTAAACGAATAATGGAATCTTCTGCTTCTGGCAGCAGTAAAGATCCAGTTGAAAAAGGTGAGGATGAACCTAGACGGAACAAAAGGACCAAAACTTCTAAGATGTTTGGCCTTGATTTTCTCACATATTTGATGGAGAATGATCCTCAAAGCTATAAAGAAGCTATATCTTCTCCAGATGGTCATTTGTGAAAAGAAGCCATTAAAAGTGAAATCGATTCCATTCTACCGAATCATACCTGGGAGTTAGTAGATTTTCCATCGGGCTGTAAGCCTTTGGGCTACAAGTGAATCTTTAAGAAGAAGATGAAAGCGGACGACTCCATTGATAAATATAAAGCTCGGCTAGTAATCAAAGGTTATAAGCAAAAAGAAGGCTTAGATTACTTTGATACTTATTCTCTTGTGTCGAGAATAACTTCTATACGGATGATAATTGCTATTGCGACTTTGCGAAATCTGGAAATACATCAGATGGATGTAAAAACAGCTTTCTTAAATGGAGATTTGAATGAAGAAATTTACATGGAGCAACTAGAGGGGCTTACAACTCTAGGTCAAGAAAGGAAAGTTTGTAGACTGGTTAAATCGCTGTATGATTTGAAGCAAGTACCGAAGTAATGGCATGAGAAGTTTGATAATGCTATGCTTTCGAGTGGTTTTAGAATCAACGAGTGCGACAAGTGTGTATATGTCAAGGACACTAATGATGGATATGTCATACTATGTCTATACGTCGATGACATGCTCATTGTCGATAGCTCTGATAAGATTATCAAAGTCACTAAGAATATGTTAAACTCGAAGTTTGACATGAAAGATGTGGGTCTCGCGGATGTCATTTTGGGAGTAAAAATTACTCGAACACCAAATGGACTTGTGTTATCTCAATCTCACTAGATTGATAAGATACAAGACAAGTTCAACAAGTCAGATACCACTGTGGCTAGGACTCCAGTGGATTTGAGTCTCCACTTATCCAAGAACACTGGTGATGGTGTATCACAGTTAGAACATTCTCGGATAATTGGGAGTTTAATGTATTTAATGACTTGTACGAGATCGGATATAGCATACTCAGTTAGCAGATTGAGTCGCTACACGAGTAACCTAGGTGCTGTCCACTGGAAAGCCATTTTTAGGATGCTACATTATTTAAGGCACACTCGTGATTTTGGACTGCACTATTCTAGATACCCTGCAGTAATCGAAGGGTATGCTGATGTAAATTGGATATCACATATGTCAGATACCAAGTTTACTAGTGGATATGTCTTCACTCTTGGTGGTGCAACTGTCTCTTAGAAATCGTCCAAACAAACTTGTATCGCGAGATCTACAATGGAATTAGAGTTCATCGCTTTGGACAAAGCAACTCGAGAAGCAGAGTGGCTTCGCCTGTTTGTTGAGGATATTCCAAGATGGTCAAAGCCTATGCCTGCAATTTGTGTTTATTGCGATAATCAATCAACAATTGACAGGGCACAGAGCAATATGTATAATGGTAAGTCTCGCCATATTCGAAGACGACACAATACCATTCGACAACTACTCTCACAAGGTATTATCACTTTGGACTACGTGAAGTCAAAGGATAATATTGCGGATCCGCTAACCAAAGGGCTAACTCGAGAGCTAGTTGTAAAAGCATCGAGGGGAATGGGCTTGTAGCCTACGACATTGAAAGGTATCATCGTGGAAACCCAACCTAGTTGAATGGAGATCCCAGGATCTAGGTTCAAAGGGACAACTAAAACGTGTATGTCTGTGTAGATCACTGAGAATGTTCTCCTTCTGCTCATTCCTATGGTGCTCACAGTGATTGGAATGCAGGTTAAGCTATGCTTTTAATGACCATTAAGCATTGTTGTAAAAAATTGAGTTAAGAGGTCACCTATGTAAGTATGAAGTGAGGCCGCTTCTATAAAGATTGACAATGCTACATCCTTGAAAAAATACTTACAGAACCAGGCGACGTGTTCATGGCCAAAACGAACACAACAGTAAGAACTATGCTGTGACTAGAATGGTCCTGTGTGATATCTATTGTCTTGGTTTATACTAATGGCGAAACAGTTCAAGGCATCAGGTCCACTGGTTTGCTAGTAATTCCCGATAGGTTTCACAAGGGAAGGTTCAAAGCTAAATGCTATCTTATATAGGATTGATTCGTTTTACTCTCTCTTTCCTCTTGAGTCTTAGTTTCCATTTTTCATTCATGTGGGGGATTGTTAGATTTGAATGAAAAATATTGAATAGAAGTAAAAAAAAATATTGAATAGAAGTCTCTTCATATGTTGTAACTCAAGTAACTCAAGTCCCTTCATATTTTTAACTCCTTTTATCAATGAATGGTTTAACTCCTTGATTAATGAGCTAGCTTTTCCTCCAATGGTATGAATAGGAGTCTCTCTAGGTTGGAAAATCACAAGTGAAATGCAAGTTTCTTCCTCTAAGCAACAATCTTCTTTTTCTCACTTTCAATTTCTTCCTTATGCTTATAATTTCTTTGTGAGATAGAGTATATCACAGCTAGTTCGCAAGCGGTTAACGTAGTGCAGCGTGAACCGACAACCGATTGTATCCTGGGAATTTAACACTGATCAAAACCTCTTGCACTCCGGTGAGGCGACGAATTCGATTTAAAGAAATTGTGAATACACAAGCCTTTGGTTTGATTTGATTTTCTAATATTTACCTACATGAATATGTTTTCAGGTGACCTGTCACATATCTCCTTGACCTGTCTCGACCAATAGGCCAGTCTCAACTCTCAAGATGGGCTGGACAAGCCTACGGCTGAATTTTTGGATTATACTTGATCCATTCAAATTTTATCTGCATTTTTCATTGGTGTGGGCCGGAGCTTGACTCAATAGTCAGCAGGCTGGTCCAACACCGAACCTTTTTTAGTATCCTGGCATCTCATTGACATGGAATGCATCAAATTCCTATGTACAAAGATTGAAAAAACAAGATTCCTATGTTGATGGTCCTATCTGAGATGCCCAGATTTTTTATTCTCCGAATAATAAAATCCCTGATCAACGTTGGAGGAGAGGGAAAAGCATGCAAGATGAAGAAAAGTACACAGAAGTTTTCTACTTCGTGTTGGAATCTGCAACTGAAGAAAACATTGCATATGTTCTTAGACAAGTGAAAGTGTACTATAATGGAATTTGATAAAAGTCTTATTCGAAGAGTAATAATATGAGAGAGATGCATTCTTAAAAGGAACTCGAGGTTCAATACAATTATCTAGTATTGATCGCTAAAAGAATCTTTTTATTTTAATAAATAATTGAATCCATCAAGTATATCTTCCGTTTGGTTAGAATTTATAAATAAATAAAAATGAGTGATGAATATTATTAGTGATTTCATTGAAAATGAAATTTAACCATTTAAAAATTAGTCAAACGGATGCAAGTAGATTTTAGAAAAAAAAGAAAAAAGAAGAAAAAAATATGTGAATACAAAATCATGCATGGTTGCTTCTCGTTCAAAGCTTTGTTCCGTAACTTTCTCGATTTGCACAACTTGCGATGATCACTATTGTGCAGATGATTCGTTGTACAGTTCTACTAGATTTTGAACTTGGTCTAGTTCAAGAATTTTCAAAAGTACTAGTCTATGCTACACGTGATGCACGAGCTATGCATGAATTATAGTTTGGTTAGCATATGTATTGAATATGTTTGAAAATATATGGGAAAATGGAATTATTGGTAAGGAACTAACCAGTTATACGAGTCGATCACTCGTCTTTCTTCCTCAAAATGTCATTTGTCTACCAAAAATTGCAGAATCAATAAAATTCATTAATAATGAGAATTCAAGCCATAGTTAGTCAAAGAAATACTCCACTGGGTAAAAACATTCCAAGCAAAAAAAGCTAGCACCATAGCAGTACATCCTTCAACTAATTATAGTAGATATAAATGTATTATTGTACAGTAAAGAAATAATTCAAGGTAAAGCAGAAATTAGAACCTGAAAATCCCAAAAGTCTAAAACAGTAGGTATCCCAAGATCCTGTGGTCCGGGGTGAGTTCCTCTCTCTTTCTTTCTTTGAGCCTCCGTAATTACGGAGGCATAAATTTCATTTTTTTCTTTTTTTTTTCCTTCACTGGCTCTCAGTACAACAATTTAATTTCATTTAATCAACTTAGTTTCTTTAATAGACGTGATTCCTAAAATAAATACATAAAATATAGATCAATATATATATATATATATATATATATATACACTTTTGTTTTTGGGAGGAGTAAGATCAGGTTTTTTCGGTAACATATTATCCATTTCTACAACCCGTGTTAATCTATTCTACTATTTCTACACCCAATTCTATTTAGTCTCTTATTTACCAACCTATTCCATCCACATTTCAATTATTCCCAAATATCTAAAATTAAACAATACAACATCATTCTTTCATTGGAACTCCTTAATTGAAATATAATGTTTATAAGAAATTTGCACACACATTACGCCAATAAATACATTATTCCACCAAAATATTTGTTTTTTATTCACTTATACAGAAACCGCCATATGCGTATATTTCATTTTATTTTTTTTATATTTTGATACGGATCCATTGCATACCACCAAAATATATATATATATTAGCAGCAAAAATTCAAAATGAAACCAATTCACACAAAACGCAAACAAAAAAAAAAAAAATTAATCAATCTCCGTTAAATGAAATTTAGTTGCAGAACGTCCACAAATTTCAATAAAAACAAGAATAAGAACTAAAATTCAAAACAATCAGACCTCAATCAGTCCATACAAAATATACAACAAACAATCCTAGTTCACTCCAGAGTTTGTGTACAACAAATCAACATCAACATCAACATCGAAGTTCAACACTGTACAAGAAAAATAAAAAAGTCAAATCACATGAAAGTAGATTTCCCTCTCAGAAATCACCACAGGAAGAACCTTTAGATATTACTGCTACCACGAACTAAAGAGAAACCCAACTTGTAATGAAAACATTCTCCACCACTATCTGCAAACTACAATAAGGGCAGCAGAAATAACGTTATTCTATCTAGTAGGAGCAAAAAAAAAACATATGTGTCAACGATCGAACAAACAGAGAGAACAAATACAATAAGCGCAACGGACGGAAAAAAGTTTTACAGAAATCGCAAAAGAATTTTCGAACCGTAGGATGCCTCATGATCACGAAAGAAAAGAACTTTCAAACCCAAAATATAAAATTAACCAACCGAAGAACACGAACACAAAAGTCTACAACATATTGGAAGCCCCACAAAAATCAACTTGAAAAAATAATACAAACTATAAGTGAGGAAAAAGAAAAAACTAACTTATTAGAAAAAAGCAGCCCGAAATCACCAAAATCCTAGCATTGGATACCAAGCAAACAGCTGAAAAATAAATATATAACAGATTAGTCCATACGTAAAAAAAAATATAATAGAAACAAAAATAGTATACATACATAGAGAAAAAAAGACCCAATGAAACTCAAAGAGAAGGAGTTAGGACTAATTTACATGGTAAAATGGAGAGAACAGATAGTAGCGTGTGAAAATGGAGAAGAAAAAAAAGATTCACCTAAATTGAGGACAAGTGGATGCATCATTGTAGCCTGCACGATTTTTATTTATTTATTTTTTTTTTTTGTAGACAGCGTCGTTTTTGCTCGAGAGATGAAAAAAAATTGCTACAGTGCGTGAAATGAAAGAATCTACTTTTCTTTCTATAGTAACGAACATTGCCATTTTTATATAGTAGTAAAAAACACTTTTTTGAAATGACAAACAATTTGTATTCAAGAGAGAGCCAACACATTCGGCTTTAGCGAACTAGTGACAGATAAAAAGACAGGTGACATGGCGTCAGTCGAGTTTATAACTTAAATCATAGTTCCTAACCCATATCAACTAAACCAAAAAGCTATACCTCTTTAATCAAGAATTTAGATTTTTCACAATACTAACTTCATAATTAACAACTCCACTTTTTAGTATAGCATACTTTAAATCTATATAAACCCATTTACGATCCAATCTTTATCCATCCAACTATCTTTATAATTCATACTTTCCCTTCTCTTATACTTGTTCATATCGTAAAATGGCTAAACCAATTATTTGCTTATTTTTGCTAGCCATCACTTTTGGAAATGCCAATGCAGCAAGAATCCTTGATGAAGTAACTCCACAAATCCCACTCCCTGCACCCAACGTGCCTCAACCATCTTATCCAACGGAGCTCGATAATCCCGATATAGTACCACCACTCGTAGCGGCTCCTGCCACCTCCACCACTGTTAGCCCTTCCCTCCCTATAGAACCAGCGGCGCCTGTTATCCCACCTGTGCAAGATGTGCCCGATACTGAGGTTGCACCAATAGCTACTACCACTGCCACCACGTCCCCTAGCGGGATCACTGCCACCACCAACACCGCTGTTAGCCCTTCTATCCCTACAGAACCAGCTACTCCTGATATCTCACCTGTGCAAGATGTGCCCGATACTGAGCATGCGCCAGTAGCTGCTACCCGTGCCACCGCATCCCCTAGCGGGACCGCCACCACAGCTGCCACCACGACTGCCACTGGTGCAACCGTGGCAAATCCTATTCCAGATCACTCCACGTTGTCCTTCTTCATGCATGATATCCTCGGAGGCTCACATCCTTCCGGCAGGGTAGTAACCGGAATCGTGGCCAATTCCGATGCCAATAGCCTCCCATTCTCAAAGCCAAACAACCAAATCTTCCCCATCAATGGTGGCGTTCCACTCAACACCATCAATGGCGTAGTCAACAACAACAACTACCCCTTCCTCGTCGGCCTAAATGGCTCACCAACCAACTCCAACTTCCAGAACAGCGGCAACAACGACATCGTTAACGGTGGAAACAACCAAGCATTCGTCACAGCTGGGCAACTTCCGGCCGGCCTAACGCTCCAACAGCTCATGTTTGGCTCCGTCACCGTTGTTGATAACGAGATAACAGAAGGACACGAATTGGGTTCAGCAGTTCTTGGAAAAGCTCAAGGATTTTACTTAGCAAGTTCTTCAGATGGCAGTACCCACACTCTTGCATTGACAGCATTATTTCACGGTGGTGAGCATGAAATAGATGACACCATTAGTTTCTTTGGCATCCACAGGACAGCTACCCCAATTTCTCACATTGCTATTGTTGGCGGAACTGGAAAGTGTGAGAATGCAAAAGGTTATGCCACCATTGAAACTCTTCCCCATGTGGACCAGCATACTACTGATGGAGTCGAAACTATTACACATTTCACTGTTTATCTTACTCCCTAGAGGATTTGCATTACGATATTTATCGAGTTATTCAAGTCATGTTGGGTTAATTTAGATGATGATGATGTAAAATATCGTTTAATTAATGTTGTGAGTTCTTAATCATCCTAGGTGCCTTAAAACTTGAATTATAGTTATGTATTAAGACTGGACGAGAAGCAAGTTACCATTCCATTTTTGATGATGTGCCAATGCGGCACTGTAAAATCTGGATACAGCCCGGCAAAATGGCTAGCAAAGGGCTACTCTGAATCAACTTCATATAATTTGGGCAGTTGGTGGAAATTTATAAAGTAATGTAATTTACATAAAAAAAATTAAGAGCTTCACCAGACATGCTTTCTTGGATCTGCTCCTATCTTGTGGTATCCTGATAAGGCGTCATTAGGTTTAGTGCTGGACATAATGTGTAACAGATGCTCGCAAGCCGAAGAGAACAATCTCCAAGGCATCTTAACATGCCAAGCAGTCACTTTTTGTGATAACATCGAAAATATATATTTGACCTCGAATACTACTCTACATTTGAAAGTTATCTCTTGAGACTCAAATTTTTGGGTCAAATCGTCTTTTATAGATGGAAGTTATCTCTTGAAAATTTCTGATATGACAGCCGGAGGGATACTTGACCCATTGCCATTCGTAGTAGGATTTTTCTACTTGTCAATTGACACCCGGTGTACAAATCCCTCCTTTGTGAGGGGTCACACAATCAACCTTGATGTACAAGTAGAAAAACCATTCGTAGTAAAGATGTAAATTTGTGTCAATAATTAAAAAATGGTGGCCTTTTTTACAATCATAATATTTGCCATTATAAAACTCAGAAAATTAGCTACTTAGGTTACTGTAACCCCCCCGCCCCTCTCTCTCTCTCTCCCCGGCGGGCTTCAGTACCTGCAGAACCCCCAATAAGGTAAAGGTAAAATCATTCCTCTCTTTTTCGTCAAATTAAAATAATGCATGTATTTTTAAGGAAATATTGGGGTCTAGAAATTATTATTATTATTATTTTATCATAGTCTAGAAATGTTTTATGTTTACAGATGTTTGATCTTTTGTTAATTTTCTTGTGTTTAAATTACAAATTGGTAATGATTCATTGTTTGTCATTATTGACTTGCACAGGAAAGAGAGAGAGAGAGAGAGTTCCCAATGGGTTTTGATGCATTACGTGTAAATTGTGGTTTTTCTCATGTAGTTTATCAAAACTGCTGAAAATATTGTTGGACTTGGAAAATTTTTGAGGTATTCATGATTTTCTTGTTATTTAATCATTTGTATTGAGAATATAATACTCCCTCTGCCCCATTTATATAGGTTATTTTGTTTTTTACATGAATTAAAAAATCTTATTTAGTTCCTGTTTGATGAGGATTAAAATCAGATTTTTAGTTGATTTTGATAAAAGTTGTTGAAATATGTGGTTGAAAAGTTGTGGGTTTCATAAAATGTATGGTTAAAATTAATTGTTGATTTGACTTGAGTTAAAATCTAAATTTTTTCACGGGGTTACTAAACTTTAAAAATCATTCAAGTCATCATTGAACTTTGCAAAAAAAAATTCATGGGGTCACTGAATTTTAAAAGTCACTCAAATCATCACTAAACCTTGCAAAAGGTTTCCATGAAGTCATTGAACTTTAAAAATCATCTCATTCGCCACTAAACTTTGCAAATAACTTTCAGGGGATCATTAAATTGTGCAAAAGATTTCTCAGCATTCACTAATTTATTGATATCTTAGGAAATCTTTTGCAAAGTTTAGTGATTGACGCCTGGTAGGATAGTGATTATCCTATTGGCTTGTTGTAGCAGATGATTCGCAAGAAAAGAATGACAGAAAATACCCAAAAATCAGAGAAAATACTCTGAATTCAACTCAATATTATTAATAATACAACATCCTCAAAACTAACCCACAAGCCGGGTTAAATAGCTGCTAAATATGAAATTATGGGAAAATTACCAAAAATGGCAAAATCCCAAAATTATACCAAAATAAAATATTAAGTAAAAGAAGTAAGTTGCCAAAAATTTGGCTCAATTCGGGTTTTCTAACATATGGAAAAAAGAAAACGAAATATTACTATAAATAGTAAAAAATGACTTAAAATTGAATTTTGGAAAGGAAAACAGTGAATTTTGGGCTTGAAATTGACGTCCACCGAGCATAGCTGGGTGGCCACGACGTGCGCGCCGAAGAGAGCTTTCCGGATTGGGGTCATAATAGCGATTCCAATAATCGTAGCCAAAGTTATGGCCAAATTACCAAAGACGCGTCAAATTCTCCCAATTAAGGAAATAATGGTGATTCACTTTCCATCTTTGCGCTGATCCGCCATCTCATGGTATCTCAGCGCCATCATCGTGCTATCTGACAAATCAGCATCACTCGACTCGGATCCTCCTACATCAGTGATCCTGTGGAAACTTTTGTAAAGTTTAGCGGATGAATGTGATGATTTTTAAAGATTAGTGACCTTATGAAAATTTTTTGCGAAGTTTAGTGATTTTTAAATCTCAGTAACTCCATGAAATTTTTTTGCTAAGTTCAATAATGACTTGAATGGTTTTTAAAATTCAGTAACCCGTGGAAAAAATTAGATTTTAAAACTCAGTGGTATCGTGGAAACCTTTTACAAAATTCAGTGACCATTTGGGTTATTATCTTCTTTCTTGTTCCCTTTTCAATTGTTCATTGTCAAATTGTACGTTTTAGATGGCCTTTTCACTAAGATGGATCTTGTTCACAGTTAATGGTGTTAATGGGGAATTGATGTCTTTCTAATTTCTAAGCCAGTTCAAGTATACAGAAATATTGTCCAAATGTGACGACCACCCAGGTTAATCTTACAATTATGTGCAACACTGCTCTTGAATGTCCATTTATAATGCTTGCATATGTTTTTTGTCATGAATAATGTTATTTGTATATAATTGTATACAGATTGGTGACATATTGATGATGTGGAATGAGGAAGAGAGAGAGAGGAACAAGAGAGAATGAAATAAAATGAAGTCAGTTAATATTATCCATCTCATTAAACTGTAAAGTTATGAACAATATGTATAATATTATGTACAAGTAACATTATTCTATTGTCAAAGGCGAAAACTATGATAACATAATATATCAAAATGTTTGCATGAGATGAGTACTATGTTAAATGCAAAGTGCTGGTTAACATACGGTATTAGATGATACTGGTCAAATTTTAGCTTCATTTTATTTCTTCATATTGTTTAGTGCGGTCCATCCACCATATTAAACATGCCATAAGTTATATTGAAATGCTTGCACGATAGTACGTTGAGATACGAAAGGTTAATTATTTTGTATTTGTCTACGCAGGTCGAGAGATCTCCAGCAGAATTGCAGCAAAGTGATGGATGCATATGCTAAATGCCTGTATTACCACACTAATGAGTTTGAAAAAGCATGACCCATTTGATTATTGGAAAATTCTCATCACATAAGAATTCCAAATACTCACATGGGAAGTGGTTCAATGTGAGTAAAATAATCCAAAAAATTACCCCCCCCACCTCAGACTGTGTGTATTCTATAAAGGTTATGTAAAAAAAAAATTCTGTACGTTTAACAACTCTCTTGATTATTTAACTACTAGATTGTTCTGCTGAACGTACTTTCGATCGATCAACTTCTAAGATTCTTTGTTGATGACATCCATTCTCGAATATTAAGGATTTCGAATCTTCTTATCTAAATTAACCTTTTTTAGTTGGGTTATAAGTAGTGCAAGTCGCTCAAGTTATAGCAAAGTTTCATCTCAAGTCTACGAACTTTTAATTTGCATCAAAGTATTCACCAAAATTTGCTTTTTGTTTCAGTTTTGATCACTCGTGAATTTTGAGTGGTTCAGAAATGAAATAAATAATCAACTTATTAACGAAACGTCTACTAACAATCATTAATACAATTTTATTAAGAAAGGTAATGGATTTAAGGTTCACCTCCCATTACAATGCAAAGGATTCTTCCCCTCTTAGTGTAAACTATGAAATAACGTGGAACTTTCCGCCTCTTTGTCCCTACGTTTTCAAGTTTCTACTATCAATAGATGGGGTAGGGATCAAAGCCAAACGCCCCCACCAGGAATAAGTAATAAGAAAGAAAATTATAATCCAACTTAGGAATAATTGTTGGTATCTGACAACTTTTAATCAAATGTCATGTTCTCTGCCTCTTCCCGCAAGGAATCAAACAGCACGGTCGAAAGATAACGTTCCCCAAAGCTCGGAAAAACGACCTGTATAGGAAGGAAGGAGGAATAGCACACTTCACTCTGTACCAAAATAGAGATACTAAATAACATGTTTAGTGCCTGTTTGATTCCTTTTTTGGCTAAAAATGCATTTTGGAGTAGTAGATTGATAGAGAACGTGTGGTTAAAAAATAAAAAAAGTTTCGGATTCGCGTGTAATATTATCATATTGAAAAATATATGATTGAAAAAAAGAGAAGAGAAAAATGCATTTTGGAAATATTGAAGATCAAACAAGGGCTTAACATCTATATATAGGCAAGAAAATTTATCAGTAAGACGAAATAAAACCAACTTACAACAATGAGTTTTCCAGCATTTTCGACCCTCTTTGCTAATGTAACTGCAGCTGCTGCTGCTGCACCAGATGAAATACCCACCTGTAATTGTTTCAATTATCAATTATAAGTAAAAAATGGTTACCAACTACATGAATGAGATGTGATCTCCCATAGAAGCTGCTCAACAAATCCATTAAACGAGTCTCGACTAACAGTTAACATTACCAGCAAGCCTTCCTTCAATGCAAGACATTTTGTCATTTCAACGGCTTCTTCACTAGTAACCTACAAATAAGTAAAGCTGCAGACATTAGACACCTCACTTGGGACGGATAATTAAAGCTACGAGGGCATATGTATCCCTACTAATTACGGTTTTGAATGAATCAACATTTACACAATCTATTAAACAGGTATAAATGAAAATATAGTTAGAATATATCCTATTATTAACAAAGGCATATTTGATTCTTAGTTCCCATATCTTCATTGGCTAGATCAGTTTATCACATAAAGGAACATTTTTAAGACGTTGGGATTTAATTGATTAAAATCCGAAATTCTCATAACTTGTACCTAAATATTTTGCCAATATAAATACTACACTAAAAAGAAAATATTAAGAGATTCTGAGTCAATTATAAAGGAAAATGCACCATTTTGATGCTGTCCGTTAGTGCATTGCCAAATCGAGACAAACTCTGAACGCTAGATACGATTTCAAAATATCTGGGGTCGCTGGCTATAAGCTTCTTCGTCTGGAAGGATATAGCCTGAATCATTAGCTAAGGCCCTAAATGGTCGCTCACGAGGATACCATTACCACAATTTAAAGAAATGAACGAACCCAAGAAATCTTCTATGTATTGAAGAGACTAACGTGAAAATTTCTATAAATTAAAGAGAACCACTGAAAAGAGCACAAATTCAAAGCTGCTAAACAAGCAACTCTGATGGACCCACCAGAAGAAGTCAGTAATGTAATCCTATGGGGTTGGACTTGACTTTGTTGTTCACATGACATAACATAGACGTTTGCTCCATTACTAATGTAATCTTAATTATGACCTATCTGTGAATCCATAACTGCAAAAAAAAAAAAAATATCATACTGCTGAACAAAAATGAAATTTGTTAAATGAGCACTCATGATACTTAGTTAAAGCTAGAAGAATAGGAGTGGCTCTACTGTTATTTGGAAGATAGAGGACAATAGCAAAAACCTATTTGCATTAAAATACCCAATAGTCTTCCAATGTATCATTTCTGGGTTGTTCCTAACATTGGGTTAATATACCTTCACTTTCTTCTTTTCTTTTCACTGCCTATTGATGTTACATAGGAGCTATTTTTATCCTCTCATTTTAGTCAGGTTCTCAGTATCATTCAGTAGTTTTAATGTTATAAACTAAAACCGTACATTGTGAAGAAGCACTGCGTTTCAACTGAACTAAATGCTTGATGGTAAGATGTATGCTTACTTGAATTACTTCATCAAGAATGTTGACATCCAGAACAGGAGGAATGAAACCAGCACCAATGCCTTGGATCTTATGTGGTCCTTTTAAAATCAACTCATGTAAATTAGCCACAAGTTAGTATCTTCATGCTCGTTTAAAAAACTAAATAAAAAATAACTTCCGCATAATTTGAGTTTTGAAGCAGTTTTTGAGATTATATTACAAGATAGATCCAGAGTTAAAAGAGATATACCCCCAAGGAAAATCAATGATTACTATGTTCTTCGTTACATTCCTATTTCATCATCATTACTCCATATACTATTGTCAATAAATTTCACAAAATTGAGCCAATAACCATCGTAGAAATATTTCTATTTACTAATATTTATTTGGTCAAAAAGGATAAAGTGGAATAGATAGTCAAAATGTCAGATAGACAATCCTTTCTAAGAAAGCTCTGGGTACCAGAAAATCACTTAACAATAGCTTAAATGCTATGTCTAAAAAGAATTCCTCCAGTTCGCTGTCAGCAAGCTTTACCAGGGAAAACAACTGCTAGATTAAAAATCGAACAAGTCTTTAAAGATAATTCATGCTGAAATATATGGAATCACCTGGTTTTCCACCATTTAAAATTGCACTTTCGGCAGGTTCTATACCATATACCTGTTAGGCGATGCAATAGGAAAAAGGGAAAATCAAAGAAACGGAAAAAGAGAGTATATAGAATAGATCAAACAAAATTAACAAATCAAGAATGGAAAAAATAATAATAATAATAATAAATAAGAGAAGGATATCTCTGTTTCTCTCACAAAAGTAGCCAGACCTTTATCTTTGGATTCTTCTCCTTGAGGAACTTCCCTACACCAGTGACTGTTCCTCCCGTCCCAATTCCAGCAACAAATGCATCCACTTTACCTTCAGAACCCTCCCATATTTCTGGTCCAGTAGTTTGATAGTGAATCTACACATAGAGCTCAACCTGATGAATAGAATAGCACCGCAACAATCTACAATTTATTTATGTAAAGGTACCTCCGGATTGGCAGGATTCTCAAATTGTTTAAGAAAAAAACTATTGGGCGTCTTTTCCACTATCTCTAGAGCCTTCTGAAGAATAAAATCTATGCCCTTGGCTGCATCTACAATGCACAAATCAGCTCCAAATGCTAGGAGAATAATCCTTCTCTCGAGACTATATGTATGTGGCATAACTACAATGAGTTTATAGCCCTTAGCTGCAGCAATGCACGCAAGACCGATGCCTGTATTACCACTGGTGACTTCAACGAGGACCGTCTTGAATTACCATATTCCGGTTTATTCAAAAAAGAAAATATCAGTATAAATTACTTCGATTACAACAATCAGGCTATCAAATAAGCATCTTTGGCAAGAACCCCTAAGTTAATCATGAAATACTGCAATCCACCTATAAAACTAACCTTCCCAGGGGAAATTTGACCCTTTTCTTCGGCATCTTTGATCATGCTATATGCAATCCTGTATTGAAATATTTGCCGAATATATCAATTTCAGAGTCGCCATTGACAACATCAAAACTATAATATGTCCCCAAGAAAGACAAATTAGTTCCAAAGAGAGCAAACAAGATCTGATGATGGAAACCTGTCTTTCACACTTGAGCAGGGTTCCATCGTCTCCAGTTTTGCAGCAACACGAGCGACGCAACCATCTACAACGTTGTTCAGATAAACCATTGGGGTGTTACCTATTAGCTGAAATAAAAAATAATGATAATAAATTAACATACATGAACTGGCCGAATTTTAAAGGAAAATAAGGAGTAAGCTGGTTTTAAGAGATTATATTACTTCAGTCACATCTTTCGCAATTTCACACTTCTCTTCCATATTCACTTTCCAGATCACTGCAAGAATTTTGAACAATCAGTGGAGGAGAGAAAGCTTCAAGAAAATGAGTAGACAAGTAAATTATATAAAACAATAACATTTATTTGGTGTTTTAAGGAATCAAAATACAGAGATTTATTTTAACAGTTATAGCATTTCCTTTGCCCACATAAGACAAAAATTATGAGAATAATTCCTTAAAATTTGACAAAAACGGACAAACGGGAGCAGGAACAAAACGTACTAAACTTGAGAGAAAATGACTCAAATAACTTTATGGGCCTAATTCATTTTTCATAAAACAAATATCTACCACCACAAAACAACTTCTTTCACTACAAAGACGGAATATTTCAAAACTTTCCCATTTCTTATAAACTGGAAGAACTAAAGCGTTTTCTAAGCAATAATTCAAGAAAATAGCATACCTTATGAATGATATTTTAGAGATTTCGGGCTGCGATGCAAATCGTATAAATTGACTGCCCAATAAAAGGGAATTTGTGTACGATAAAGTTTGCTGCAGATAAGATAAACAGAGTCAACAACTGCTCCACAATATTTTTATTACATGTCTATTCGGATAACTACTAGGTAAATTTTTTATTAAAAACAAGTTTACTTACGTAAGTTGACTTGTTAAATTTGGAGGGAAAGGCCTAATAATCAATTTACATAAAGCAGGCCGCGGCCGGCTGTAGTATAAGGAGGGAAATTGCAGCAGGCAGCAGCCAGAAAACAAGAAAATAAAGAGAGGAGTCTCACTATCCTTGATTTTCTTGCCAAAACTTGTTTAACTTTTCTTGTTTCCCAACTTTTTCCTCGGTTGCTTGGCTCTTGAAAGATTACTCTTGAACCGTATATGTTCAAAATTAGCTCTCAATGGACTCTTTTTAACCCTATCGACGCGAAACTATTTTTTTCATCTTTGCTTTATTAATTCCATTTTCGTGTTTTCAATGAATAATGACATAAGCCCTTATTCTAACCTTATTATTTTACAAAATATGTGTTTGATTGACATGAAAAATATTACTTAGAAAAGAAAATATTTTCCATCTTTTGTGGAAAATAAAAACCACTTCTACTTAAGGAAAATGTTTTCCTTAAAAATAAGAAAAATTAGGCATATTTTCAAAAGTTGGAAAACGTTTTCCATGGAAAAAAATAGCAATCAAACACTCTAAGTAGGAATTTGGGTGAAAAACTAATATTTTCCATGGAAAATAAATATAATCAAACACACCCAAGTGAATCTATTTTAATATTTGCTCCGAAGTCCTTTAAAATTGAAAATATAGACAAGAGGGATGTTACAGTTAGCAGCCAAAGTTTATATGTAAAGCCACTATAAAATAAGGGAACGATATATAACTTTTATACATGGGAATCACATTTTAAAATTAACAAACTTGTTAAATTATTTCAAAATAGAAGTGTTAATTCCAATTAATAATATATATAATATGCAATTAATATATATATGCACACACAGAGACTTGTCATATATTATATCTTACCCGGACCTATCCCACCCCTGAAATCTCCAAAAATTCACATCTCTTTGCACCCTCACCCCGATGGACCCAACCCCACGCCATCTCATAGTAGCAAACTCTAAAAATTAAAACATTTCCTCTCTCTTCAGAAGTTCTCTTTCTATATATTAGTATATATCACGCGCGTTGCACGAATTTTGTATTTATTGTATTTTTATTAGTGTATAAATTATAATTTTTTTTTGGAAAGTTTTTGAAACAATATTTAAAAATATTTTCATGATATAAGAAAATAATTGCAAATTATTTTTACAATTGCATAACAATATGTTATTTAGAAAAATATGTTTTTATATTTCATGCTTGAATAAGAAATATACAAATTCTTTTGCTTGTATTTTTTGATAGTGTTGATATGATTGAATAGAACGTGAAGATTATATTTCTAAATTTTGTGTAATTCAATATTATAAAAAAAAACTCTCCGCACAATGCGGAAAGATGACAAACCAACTCTCCGCATAGTACAGAGAAAAAAACTCTCCGTATTGACGGAGAGTGGTTTTCAAATTCCTTAATTACAAGTCAAATTTCAAGACTGTAAATTTTTCGTATATACAACGAAATAGAGTCGAAAAACATGGCTCAAATCAATTATGTCTTCTTTAAATTCCAGTCATAGCTCAATTTCTGAGCATGTAAATCATATTTACGGTATTGGAAAGGAGCTTTCTCGTGATTCATACAATGAAAGAATATGTGAGTTGTGCAAAGAATGAGATATTGATAGTACCATAGCATTGCTTTCACAAATGGAAGCTCTAGGGTACCACCCAAATTAAATATCTTACACTTGCTTAATAACAGTTTTTGAACATTAGAAGCGGATACAATTTTCAATGAAATTATACTTTCTGGTTGTAGGCCAGGAGTTAAAGTATTCAATGCATTGCTCAAAAGTTGTTTGAGAAAATGCCTCTTGAAACTTGCAGATAAAGTCTCGAGAGTTTTTATTTTTCTCTTCACACTGTGCGGAGAAATAGTTTGTCATCTCTCCGCACTTTGCGAAATATTTTTTTTGCTCATGTGCAGAGATTTTTTTTTTGTCTCATGGAGTTTATATATACTAAAATTATTATTATTTTTTTAATATTGTTGGCATGATGCGTGTGTGGGAGAATATTTGTCAATCACCATAAACAAAATTCTTCACAAAATGTAAAATATAAAATGCATAATAAATCTTCTTATTATGCTAATAAAATTACAATAATTTTTTTTTTACAAATAACATAAAAAATCATTTTTATCTTCAACAAAAAACACATTTAAAAATTAGCAATTTCTTAACCATTTTTTTTTAATTCTCAAAAATACAACATATAAAAAAGGAAACAATATTAAATTACAATATTTAATACTTAAGAAATTCAATATTAAATAATTTATATATATTTATAACAAATTATAAATACATATATGCAACTTACCATTTATACAGCTTGCCGTATATGCTGCCTACCGTATTTGCAGTTTACCGTCTTTGCAAACAACTTACGTATTTGCACCTTACTGTGTTTGCAGTCTACCGTATATGCTGCCTATCGTTTATGCAACTTACCGTATTTGCAGCTTACTGTATTTTTATGTACCGATTTTTGCACTTACAAATACCAAAAATGTAGAACACCATACATTCACTTACCAAACCAAATTTCAAAAAAAAAAAATTTCAAAATTTTATTTTTTCAACATAAGCATAAAATAAATATTAAATATATATGAAGCGCAAAATATAAATACATATGAATATTGTGCTCAACCTTCAATTTTTCAATATTGAATTACATAAAATTTAGAAATATAATTTTCACATTCAACTCAATCATATCAACACTATCAAAGAATACAAGCAAAATAATTTATATAATCTCGTATATTTCTTATTCAAGTATGAAATATACAAGTATATTTTTTTTAGATGACAGAATACTGTTATGCAATTGTAAAAATAATTTGCAATTATTTTCTTATATCATGGAAATATTTCTAGATATTACTTCAAAAACTTTTCAAAAAACTAAAATTCATACACTAATAAAAATACGATAAATGCAAAATTCGTGCAAAGCACGTGACAGTCACTGTGCAGAGAGAGTTTTTTTTTTTTTTTTTAACTTTGCATTGTATGGAGAGTTTGCCAACTCTCTGCATTGTGCGAAGTTTTTTTATTTTTATTTTTGTTACTCCGCACTGTACGGAGAGTCCGCACTTTGTGAGGACAGTGTCCGCACAGATTGTGCGAACTATTCGCACAGAATGTTAGGGCTGGGCAAATTTCCTGAACCGAACCGATCGAACCGAACTGAACCGAACTCGATGGTTCTTGTCAAATTAAATACCCGAACGGGTATCTGAATTGAGAACCGATGGGTACGGTTCGGTTCTTAGTTCTAGACCAAAAACCGAATAAGAACTGAATCTTTCTAATTTTTTTTATTTAAATAAATCAAATTATTTTAATTTTAATTTTTTCTAAACAAATTAACAAATTCTAAATCCAAATTTTTGGCCCAATTACCCATTTTATTGTTTCATTTCTTAGCCCAACAAGATCCAATCCACTAAATAACCCTAAACAACTACACTAAAGTGCATATAGCTGTCTCAACTCTCGCACTCACTCTCGTAGCCTCGCTGACATTCCAAAACCTATATAATCGTCGGCCGATGCTGTGACCTCCGCCGATCGAAACTTTAGTCGTAGCAATCATTTGAACAAAATAGTCTACTAGTCTCTGACATTCCAAAATCATTGAATGTGTCATTAGTTGTATTTATATAATGTTGTTATAAATGTTAAAAAATTTAATTATAGTACAGAACTGAACGGAACCGAACCAAACCGAACCGAATCTGAACGGTTCCATAATTATATTTGGACCCGACGATTCCATTTATTAGATACCCTAAAATTTTGGTTCGATTCAGTTCTCTTTAGAACCGAACCGAACCGACCTACGCCTACCTCTACAGAATGTCATCTCTCCGCACTGTGTAGAGAGATTTTTTTTTACTTCGCACTGTACAGAGAGTTTGTTAACTCTCCGCACATGGTTTCCTATCTCTCCGCACTATGCGGAGAGTTTTTTTCTTCCTTTTTTACTCCACACATGGTTTGCCATCTCTCCGCACTGTACGTAGAGTTTATTTATTTATTTATTTTTTAAAGTTCATGTGTGAAGAGTTTTATTTTTTTTGCTCATGGTAGTTTATATTTACTAAAATTATTATTATTTTTTTAATACTAGTGACATGATGGGTGGAAGAACATTTGTTTGATATAATTATTTTTTTAATGTTAGTGGCATGATGTGTGGAAGAACATTTGTTTGACGTAAACAAAATGAAAAATAAAAAATGACATCATGCATAATGAAATTGGATTAATTTACTATTGCATCAATAGTAGACATTCCTTCCCCTTTTTATAAGAAGTTAGATATATTTATAGATACAAATAACTTTACAGGTGGGGGTGATGATGAGGTGGCATTGTGTTTAGAAAATAGATTTGCGTGATGGCAATGATAATGATTGTAGGTGATGAATGTGCTCTGCAGTTAATCTGTTGGGTGGTGGCAACGTTTTGAGTACTGTGTAGTGACAGTAGTAGTAGTTGACGAGATTTTGTGACTAACTGTGTTATATGTAATCAAATTTATAGTTTGTGAGCATACTTGTGTTATTTACGATTAACTGTGACCAAGTCACTATAATTTGTGACTGTATGTAACCAAGTTACTTATATATGTTAGCTGTGACTAATAATGACCAAATTTGCATTCATTGTAACTGTTAGTGATCAGATCAATCAAATTTGTGACTCATTGTTAATTTGGTCATAGATAATCACAATGAAGACAAAATTTATTGCACATGGTCACAATAAACATATACTTGGTTATAGAGGATCACCATAAATGAATCTGTACATACCAAAGCCTAACACCACAATCCACCACCACCTTCAAATCAAGTATACTTTCACTTCCAATCTACAACAATCATCATCACCATTTCTTTCACCAACACCTTCAACAAACACCAACCATCACCAGCCTCACACCACCAACAAAACCACTGACAACAATTTGATGTATAACAACCTTGACCACCAACAAACGACCTACATTTTCAAAAAACCACCACCTCGATCACCAGCAAACCACCCACAAATTAGAAAAGGTTCGT